GTTTTTCCCTCTTTTCCTCGCTTTCCTTCGCTTTTAAATAGCTTGTAAAAGCACCGTATTTTATTTTCACTTTTAAATTAGCGACAATTCAGCGTCAATTGCTTGAATTCAATTCAAACAACAACAAAATTGGTTATCTTTACATTAAAGGAGAAAGTTACATATGTATTTATTCATCATAAAGGCTCTGTTAGGTAAATTACCATCTTATATTTCTAATTTGTTAACGTTACATATCAACAGTCATTGTACTAGATCGGGTTCTTGTATTCGGTTAACAGTTCCAAAGGTATTGTCAAAATTTGGTAAATGTGCTTTCTCTGCTTATGCTCATTGGGCCTGGAATGAATTGCAAAATGTAATTAATCTTGATACACTTCCAACATTTAGTAATTTTAAATGTCTTTTGTATAATGTTTTAAAGGATAATTTAAAATTGTAATAGTTTTTCATGATGTCATACAACAATCGATCTGCGCAGCTGTGCAAATGGTAATGATGATTCAGGAAATTCACCAAAGTGATGACGAAAAACTGTTTTTGTTTTCTCTGCTTAAAGGCTCAGCTGTTCTGGTCACTTTTATATTGTTCAAACAAATATTGGTTACTAATTTCACTTGGTTGTCTTTTTTCTGTTGCCAGAGTTCTTACAAATAGATTGATGGCCATGATGAACATAGACGGCACAGGACTAAAGAAAGCCTTTGGCAAAACACGGCTTTGCCAAGTTATGATAGGTACTAGATCACTTTTCTAGTATCTCGTGCATTAGGCGCGCGTTTATCATTTTATTGATGCGCAAACAAACCGTGTATGTGCGCTCTAGGCACACCTAAAACATCGAATTTCTGTTTGGACACAATTCAGTATAAAAAAATCACATCGCTGAGTTTCCACACATATAGAATGGTTTCATTTTTCATTAGAATTTTGGTGTGTTTAGTGATTCTGAATGGATCCGTATAGTAGGGGTGTGCGATATTGAAAAAAAATTATATCTCGATATTTTTGGGGATTTGTTCGATAACGATAATTAGATAATATTTTGCCAAGTGTGTTATTGTGTGCTGATATCTGACTACCGTGGACAGCTGCAGTTTTTGATATTCTTCATATTCTGTGTGGTCAGTTCACATCAGTGATAGAAATTAATCTTTTCAAATAAGTTTAAATAGATTTTTTACCTTTTATGGCCAATTTTACCTTTAATAAAGCCATTTTTTTTGACTGAACCGAATCATTTAACGGTTGATTCATTCAGGAACTAAACATCATCTTGTTGCTCAGAGACGCAAAAAACAGTGCTGTAGCCGTTTGGAATTATTTTTTGTTGGCGAAATGGAGCAAAAACAGGCAATATGGTGTCTAAATTGCACTCTGTAGGGGTGTTTTTGTTTGGTTTTTGCAAAATACTCGATAATGTCAAATTGCACATCGCTAAAACAACAATTACAATATTATCGCAGACGATATATATCGTACACCCCTACCATATAGTGGCCATATGCAGTCCTTTGGCATCTCCCTGTGGTCTTTTTTGGTATGGCAGGTTGACTTGTACTTATAAGTTACTGTATAATCTAGCTTCACATAGTTTTAAGTTGTAAAGAGTATCTGCAGTGACCTTCTTGCTATTCCTACTATTTAAGAATTTTACTATTTAAAATAAGTGCTTTCTATATGAATATATTTTAAAATGTGATTTATTCCTGTGATCAAAGCTGAATTTTCAGCATCATTACTCCAGTCTTCAGTGTTACATGATCCTCCAGAAATCATTCAAATATACTCATTTGATATTCAAGAAACATTTATTATTATTATTATTATTATCATCATCAATATTTAAAAAAGTTTAATAAATTTTTTTCAGGATTCTTTGATGAATTGAAAGATCTAAAGATTGGCATTTATCTGAAATTAAAATTATATTTTGTAATATACATTATACCATTCAAAAGCTTGGAGTATATACATATATATTGGGGGGTGGCGGGGGTGGGAAGAAATTATAGAAAGTAATACCTTTATTTAGCAAGAATGCATAAAATTTATCCAAAGTGATGACAAAGACATAATGTTACAAAAGGTTTCTATTTCAGATAAATGCTGATCTCCTGAGCTTTCTATTCATCAGAGAAAGCTGGAAAAATTCAACTCAGCTGTTTTCAACATAATATAATAATAATAACAAAAAATATTTTTTGAGCAGCAAATTAAAATATTAGAATGATTTCCGAAGGATCATGTGACACTTAAGACTGGAGTAATGATGCAAAAAATTCAGATTTGAAATCACAGGAATAAATTACATTTTAATATATATTCAAACAGAAAACAGTTATTTTAAATAGTAAAAATATTTCAACATTTTATTGCTTTTGCTGTACTTGGATCAAATAAATGCAGGTTTGGTAAGCAGAAGAGAATTCTTTAAAAAACATTAAAAATCTTACTGCTCAAAAACTTTTGACTGGTAGTGTATCTACATAATTTATCTACCATATGTTGTTAATCCATCTATGAATTTAAGCTTTTTTTTCATGCAGAGTTAACCTTTGATTTACATTGACTGTAGTCCCTTCAGCAGATAAAAAATCCAGTTCACATTTGTATTTTGGAATTGTATCTTGATAAATAAAACATTTCTTACATGTATTACTGTAGTGTCATTATTTTGGTGGTCTAGAATAGGACATGTGTGGACGTCAAATTGACATCAAGTTTTTGACATCAATTTGATTTGTGTTGACGTCTATGTTTGATGTCAATTTGACGTCTTTTTGACATCAATTGCTCACTGGGTCCACATTGGATTGTGGGAAATAGTGCTTCAGCGAGTGTACCCCCTTGTCCAAATACTCACACGTTCGGTCTTTGCACTTGACCACTTTGATATGACGTATTTCCTGTATTTGGCCCAAGTGTTCAAGTGAGAATGAAGACCACAAGTGTGTAGAACTTTTCATTACCGTATGGGACACACTTATAGTGTTGTAAAAATGCAAGTGTTTGCATAGCTTTATTTTAATTTTAAATTAATTACCATTTCAACTTATTTTCAACTTCTAAATATCTGTTCAGTATAGTGCCTATAAGAGATGACAGTTTAGTTGCAGCTGCTTCTAATTAAGTGATGAAAAGCAGTTGCAAGTGTTGTACAAAATAAATATCACCACTATGCATCTTTGCACCAATAAAACGTGCAACACTGTTTTTCTACCAAATTATATGTAATAATAGCCTAATTATCATATTAATATTTAACTTACATTGGAAAAGTTTCTGTAACCTCTCGCGAGATCACAGCAAAGATCTTACGATTTATTCCAAAACATGATGCATGATGGGATACACTAAGCCTCGAATAGCGCTCCGGAGCGGTATTCGAGATAGTGTGGATTTCACGATTTTAGCCCGATTTTTCACTCGCCGACAGGTTTTGCGAAATCGCCGACAAATGCCCGACATCGGAGGCAAATCGGTGCTCGCTCACGCGAGTGACAATCACGCAGTGTGAATTATCAAAGACTCGATCTGAGGGAATCGCCGACACCCGTGAAATATTTGGCATGCTAAATATCTGGAGCTGTCGGCGATTCACAATCACGCGATGTGAAATTATTTCTGACTGAAAAACACATCGGTGATGACCTACAGCCAATGAGAGACCAAAATACAGGGCAGAGGGAAGTTCGGGGAGGAGTTATAGACCAGAATATCAGTATTTTAATAGATATATGAACAATTATATCATACAGAAACAAACACAACTTTTGCTTGCCCAGCCACAACATCAGCATAACAGTTACTGCAAAATTATTTACCTCCAACTCTCTTTGCAGAACACCCAATCCCTGTTCCCTGCATCTCCCTCCTGCATAATCTGTTTTTCTTTTTCTCCTTGTAGCTGGAAATCAGCTCACAGACAATTTGCGGGCTATATATATATATTTTTTGTTTTAATAATTCCAGTCTTGCTGGAGAACTCCTGTCTGACGCAGGCGGGTTCTCGCGTTATTTCCTTATCACTTCTCGCGTGTGTTTTGTTGTGAAACGTAGTTTGCGGACCAGACAGAGCTGTCGGCGATTCTTCCTATTGTGAAGTCATGCAATGTGAAACCCCCTGTCACCGATCCATCGTGCAATGTGAACACAGCAGCAACTGACTGCTACCACAGATAGTCACGCAGTGTGAAAACACCGGCGATCCGACGAGTTTGAAAATCGTGCAGTGTGAACTCGGCAGTAAGGGCACTGCTCTGTCGTTTTCAAGACCTGGGACAGTCTTGCACACTTACTTACTGTCGCGTGCACACGCTCTCAAGTGGCCAAGACCGCAAGTGTGGGTATTTGGACAAGGCACATCAGTTGTACACTCGAAATCAGAATGCATTGTGGGTAAAAAGTAGTGAACGAATGTAGGGAATGAAGTAGTTCCCTCAGAATTCGGACAGCACTACAAAATGGCTGGCACCCGATATAGTGCACTATGTAGTGGATAGGGAGTGGTTTCGGACAAAGCTACTGGTTTGAAACAAATTAGCGATTTCGAAACCTTTGCGAATCATCATTCAGCACGCACTGTAGAGAAACAAAACTGACATTTTATGGGTAAAAAAAAAAAGTAACGTTTCAACCATCATCAGAAAGTTAACATCTGTAACCCGTAAAAACAACCAAAAGGACATATCGAGCTGAAATATCGCTTTCAGTTTGTTAAACAAAAAGGAAACACGAGCTGTCTCCGTTCTCAGTATTTCTTTACGAAGAGTAAATAAAAGGATCAAAATACGGACCGCCAGTACAATTTCTATTAGGCCTACACATCTTTTTTTCCCCGTGCAAAACGAGTTGAGAGTAGGCTACTTTCGATTTAAGTTCTTCCCGATGTTGAGGCCAACGACGAATATAGGCTACCATCAGATACTACACGGAGCTCGCGGTTTCCCCGCTGGTCACATGTAGCATTTGCTTACTTGTAAACATACATAGCCTACCTTGCTTTCATCTTGGACAATATTTATTTTCGTTCCTACTTCGTCTTCTCGTTTCTCCAAATTTGGTTAAGGCCAGATGATGCGGCTACTGAGCATGCGCACATCAGGGTAATTTTTTGTCACACTGTACAACAGTAATTCCTATTGTTAGGGGTAGGTTTAGAGTTGGTAGATGTAGACGTTAAATAAAACACAATCTAATAAGTAGAACATTTCATTTGTTTGGGAGAACAAACCTCATTATTTTAAGAAAAATATATTATGCAATCCATATGATCAGGGTGGTTTGAATGTTGTGGATTTCACGACTTTGAATAACACTTTAAAAATAAATTGTTTACATTTTTAATTAAATGTTATTTAAAATAGTTCATCTATATGGAATATTTCCCCTAACAATGTATGTAATCAACTTGGTGGTATCAGGTTTTTTTTTTAGATGTAGCTTTGATGTCAACAAAATACCTGTGGTGTTTGGCTTCATAACTTCTCCCCTCACTCATTTTTTATTTGGAATAACAAGTATAGACTATTACTCAACAGAAATAAATGGCGTGTAGGTTAAGTACGTGCGTCTCACAGCGGCTCCTTTCACAGTAGTTCCACAGGAACTGTTATAATTTACATGTGTGGAGCGTCTCAAACTCCATCTCTGCATGTTGTTGTGAGTTTGGGTTTATTATAACGTTCATCTGGGAACGCAACATGCGCCATTTCATCAGATTTGTAAGGTAAATCATTTATAAATCCACGCAAACACAGGAGAATACATTATCTCACGGTTTCAAAATAAAAGCTCAAACCCTCACTCTTGAGTTTTCACACGTTTTGAAGACCACATATTCATTAAATTACAGTGGCTATAGCATCTCTGTCCTAAATAAATGGACAAATATTAAAGATTAAGTGGACATTTGAATTAAATGGTGCTTGGTCAATATTAAACAAGTCTTAGATCGTACAGTAATGTGTAAAAACAATCGTCAGGCCGTTGGCGCCCCCTGCAGGCTTTGTTGTAATGCGTGATGTCTCTAATGTAGCTCTGTTGTTTATAATGCATTGTATTTTAACAGTTTTGTTCAATAAAACCATATGATTTATTGCTTTTGATACTTTATTTGAACTTATTATTATTGCCTCATTGGTATTATATATGTATTTTAAGTCATTTTAAAGGCTGTTGTTCACTGCCAGTAGGTGAACCACAACATTTTTTTATTATAATTATAGGGCCCTATGAAATCCGTTTTTTTTTTCAAATTCATTTTTTTTTTATTTTCATTTTTCTATACTCCATTTTAATGGTTAAATAAAATTGTATTAATCAAAAAGCCTGTCTAATTAATTGAGTTTTACAGTTTTATCTTTACCAAATTCTGTTTTCCATTATTTTCTGGATTCCATGTTAATGGTTCCATTAAAATTTTAATAATCAAAAGCATCTCCA